GCCCGGGGGGGGTGGGGGGGGGTGGGGGGGGGGGGTGTGGGGTGGGGGGGGGTGTCACCCTGTGTGTCCCCCTTCCACCCTGGCTGCAGCAGTGGGGGTCACCCATGGCTGTGCCCAGGTGGGCAGCGGGATGGGAGTGGGCTACAACATTAACATCGCCTGGACCGGCGGCGTCGACCCCCCCATCGGGGACGTGGAGTATCTCACCGCCTTCAGGTGGGTGTCCTGAGGGGGGTGGGGGGATGTTCCTGGGCTCTTGGGGGGATCCCCGCATCCCAGGGAGGTCCCTGTGCCCTTGGGGGGGGTCCCTGTGCTCTTGGGGGGATCCCTGTGCCCTTCAGGGGGGTTGTGGGGGGGGATCCCCATGTCCTAGGGGGTCCCTGCACCCTTGGGGAGGTCCCTGTATCCTGGGGGGATCCCTGTGCCCTTGGGGGGTCCCCATGCCCTTGGGGGGGATCCCCGTGTCCCGGGGGGGTCCTCGTGCCCTGCCCTGACCCTCTGCCCCCCAGGACCGTGGTGATGCCCATCGCCAACGAGTTCTCGCCAGACGTGGTGCTGGTCTCGGCCGGCTTCGACGCCGTCGAGGGTCACCTCTCCCCGCTCGGCGGCTACTCCGTCACCGCCAAATGTGAGTGGGGTTCGGGGGTGTCCCCAGGGTGGGGACCCTGGCCAAGCCACTTGTCACCTCCCCCACACTTTGGTGTCCCCCAGGTTTTGGCCACTTAACAAAGCAGCTGATGATGCTGGCGGGGGGCCGGGTGGTGCTGGCGCTGGAGGGGGGGCACGACCTGACGGCCATCTGTGACGCCTCGGAGGCCTGCGTCTCCGCTCTGCTTGGCCTGGAGGTACGGGGGTCACCCGTGGGGACACCCCCCACCCGTGGGGATCCCTCTTGCCATCCCCCTGGGGTACAGGGTGTATTGAGGTGCACACCCTGTGCCGTGCCTCAGTTTCCCCCAGGTGGATGAGAGGGGCTCCGGTCCCATCCCTGCTCTCGGCAGGGGGGCTTTGGGGTTGCTGGTGGCAGGTTTGGGGGTCTTGATGGTTTCCCCCCCGCTTCCCCCCTCCAGCTGGAGCCCCTGGATTCATCCCTCCTGCAGCAGAAGCCAAATGTGAACGCGGTGGCTACCCTGGAGAAGGTCATCGAGATCCAGAGTGAGAACCTGCGGCCGGGGTGGGGGCATAGACCCTGTCGGGGTCCCCTGGGGGGTGCCCGTGGCTGTCCCTGCCACTTGGGGGACACGGGAGGGGTGGCACAGGGGGGTCCCCAGGGCTGTCCTCACCACTGGGGGACCCCAGCGGGTCTGTCCCTGCCATGGCGGGGGGG